TGTCACCTGAGCTTCCAGTGAAAGCTCCGGGTCGAGGAGCACTCCCAGGCTGTGGACCTTGTCCCTAAGAGGGAGTGCAACCCTGTTCAGGACAAGGTTCAATTCACCCTCTCCAAAGCCCGATCTGCCAACCAACAGGACCTCCGTGTTGTCTGGAATGAGCTTCAGTTTATTTCTGTCTGATGTGAAGGAATTATTTATCTTATATTTTACATTCCGTAACTCCTGATACAGCCAAGTAGGTGGCAGAAATGGCAATGGGTTAGAAGCACTTTCAATTCCTCACATAATGATGCCTGTTGAAATTTTAAAATTTCTTATTATGTGAAGCTTAAGCAATAATTATACCCTAGATAAAAGCTTTGCTGCCTTCCCACTCAGTGACATCAGTTTCCTCAGCACCCTAATTATTTTCAAAACACTCACAAAGCTCTGCAAAAATCCAATTTTTAAATATCTTGTCATTAAGAAGTGAAACATGAAAGTGCCAAAGCCTAAGAGCAAGGCAAATCTGAAAATTTCTATTTCAAATAGATTGGGGCACAATCTTAAATTACCAGTGTTTCAATTTTACATGCTTTAATTTGACTTATCAGTGATTTAGAGGCTGAAAAGTAATTTAATTAAAAGCAATTCTAATGGAATGGTGAAATAAATGTATCATCATGGCACTCACCAGGGTGCACAATTCTCCAAGCATCCAACAAATTAATTTCAACCACTCAGGACTGTGGCACAAGCCTCTATTTGACACTTGGAGGGGCAGCATATTTTGGTCCAACAGAGGATCTAAAATGCTATTATAGCACCCCCAAACACACACCCATCAAGTAATCATGGCCAATTTCAACAACTTTGCTAATACAGTATCACCATATTTCTCAACTAAAACCAAAAAAGAACCCCTCAGGATCAGTCAACACCTGTTGCACTAGAAAAGAGAGTCATCTGTGGATTAAAATTGCAGCTTCCTTGAACTATGTTTCTGCATCTGTTATGCAAATTCCTCTAACCCAGTTTCAACAAATAATCAAATTTCATCAAGTGGGTTTTGTGTAGAAAAGCATTACATTCTATAAACTTGGAAAGAATTGTCTGCTGCTTATTTATATTCCCTAGCTCCTTGACGTACCTGAAAATTACATTACAAGAGAGAATTCATTATATTTCAAGATAGAAAGATACCAGAATTCAAGAGGCGATTTAGGTAATACAAGTACACAGTTATTAAAAAAAAAACAACTTCAAAGGAAGGAAGGAACAGAAGAGGACAGCACTGAACAAAAAAAGAAGCAAAGAATGAAAGCAACAAAATCATAAGGGAGTACTTGGAATTTTACATTATGACAAATAAGTTAAAGTATGTTCTATGTATAATAAGGATATCTTGATTGCTCTGTTTGTGTTTATGCATATAACCAAGATTGAGAAGTTTGTTTACCTTTCCATGTTGCCAAGTTTATTTCTTCCCACTTGTACATCAGGTTGCAGATGTGATTTATTTATTATATTTCTATATTGCACAATAGCCAAAGCATGAAAATCCATACACATTTTTATACACAAGGAAATTCATATGCATTTTCTTCTAATACAAACCTTTGATATAAGGTATTTCCATACCTTTATTTTCCATAGCTTATGCATTTTTGCATGCAACTTTCCCTAATATATCTATTTTGTATGCATTCTGATTAGAGGAAATCTAGAAGTCATTTGCATTCCAGTTTGTAGATTAGTTAGGATTCATGAATTAGATTGGACCATGTTAAAATGAGACCAAAACTGATTTTTCTCCCATTCCCTGTATATAATGATCTGTATTATGGTTGAGTCCTTTATTAGTATCAGTGGCTGTGAAGATATTCTTTACTGAAGCATGAATTGTATACAATTCAATATTCCATACTATTTTATGGATTTCCCACACCCTGCTTCTTGGATAAAAAACCAAACCACAACACTTTCAGAAGAACAAGTTACTTACTGTATTCAATCATCATATGCATTACGTGAAAAGGAGCCCAGCAAACGGCAAACAAAACCACAACAGTTATCATCATGATAATTGCTCGCTTCTTTTTCCTGAAAGAAGACAAAGGTACATTGAGAATTTCTGCATGATGTCTGGACAAGCATAAGAATCTGGAAAGGATACAAACGATGTGGGTGCGGAATGACAGAGAGGTCTATAACTAAATGTTCCCCAGCAGCAGTGCCAGGGAAGACTTTTCCCTGAGTTTATGAAAAGCTGTTGCCAGTGAGACCAGACATTAGACACCATGATCCAACCGTCTAGTTCCGCATAAGGTAGCTTCACATGTTCGTGACTATTTTACTACACCTTTGGACAAGAGGTTTGGCAAAACCTTCCTTGCCACTTGGTAGCTGATGTATATGATCAAGCTACAAAAGTGTAAGAGAATTTACCAGGGGCAGTCTATGGCTGTGCTGGTTCACACATTATGACAGCCCATGGGCTAAACAGCCTGTGAATTGTTAATAACAAGGGGCAAAGGGTGGATGCCCTGCCTGCAGCACACCCAGCTCTTCCACTTTCATTCAACAAGTCACAATCAGTTCTTTCATAGATTGCTTGGCATGTCAAGAGCTCTGAGACATTGAGGGGCCAAGCAAGCCAGCACTCCCAGCTTAAACAACTTGCTAAACAACCCATGAGGGAACCATTCATGGGTTGCTGGGTCAAAACAAAACCAGCAGGCACATTGCAGCCAGCATGTTCCTTCCTTTGTATATTCATTCATGGATTGTATAACAGACGGACAATTGTGTCATGTGAACTGGGCCTCTGCCTTTTCCGGTTGAAGAAATAGAACATCTGGGTTGTGCTACCACTTTCCTGCATTCTACACAACTAAGTGGAATGTGTCTACTTTTACTCTGAGAAATAGTAAAACAATGAGAAACAAGAACGTTTCTGCTACCATTTGAAAAAGAAGGTGTTGCCACCACCTGGACCAATGCTGGCTTAGGGAGATGCTGCAGCACAGGTCTAGGCTCCTCTAACATCATGTGGAGATAAACACATTACCAAGCACAGCTTTCCCCAATTTGATGCCCTCCAGACATGTCAAGAGATATACTGGAAAACAACTCACATCATCCTTAGTCAACATGCCTAAACCCATCATTCTGGGGGTGATATGTAATTCAACATATCTGAAATACACTAGGTTGGAAGAGCCATCCAAGAGAAAGGAGCTGCACTAAACAGGCTCCCATGTTAACTGAGCTATGCAAAATGTGGGTGGGTGTTAAGTGGTCTAGAATTGATAGATTATTATTATGCTGAAATTGTAGATGTCATTAATATTTAGGACTATTAAAACTTGTCGATAAGTTTGCTTTTATAATGTTCATCGCCCATGACTGCGGGAATCTTCCAAAGAAAAGGTGATATTGAATGTTTGCTGTAGCTTTCTTAACAATTGGTGGTGAGATTTCTGACTGATTGCTCTTAGTAACTGATTGCTCAAGTGATTCCTACTCCTAGCAAAGGATGAGATAATCCATGTCTCTGCCTGAAAAAAACCAGAAACTGGGGATCTCTAGTTGGGAAAACATGTCTCTAGGCAGAGAACTCCTAATGCTACCAATAAGAAGGTATTGTGCAGCTAGTCCTTCTTTTTCTCCTTGACATTTTTTCCTATGGTAAGTAAAAAATGGGAGAAATGGAGGGCAACATAGAAAGACCGTGAAATGCCACCTGGATTCCTCCCCCCCTGTACAATTCTGTGAATGAGGAAAGTTGATGTCTGGAAGCATCCAGGCGAAAGGCAGCATTTGCTTCTGACTAGGAGTTTGGTCCTAAGTATACCTTGTCAAGATAATTCCTGTCTACATGCATGCTGTTATTCTCAAAAAAAGGAAGAGGCCCGCTAAAGAAGCCAATAAAAGATACTTAACCAAAAGTTTGGGTCACAGAGACTGAGAGTACGCACCATGCTATTTTGGACATTTCATTCCCATGAATGGTTTGCAGAACAGAAGCATCCCCAACTCTTTTCTTAATCCAGAGCTCACAACCAATCTTACTGTAGAGCAAGAGCATCAGCATCAAGGGGAGAAGGAAGAGAATGACCAAAATGAAAGTAGCATATATCTTTTGGTGAACAGAACTGGCCCATTCTTCCAAGCAGCAAACATATTCTTTATCATAAAGGAAGTCATATTTATTCTGAAACAAAAGAAATTAAAATCTCAATATAGGCAAATATACTTCCATTGTCAATGGCCTATGAATAAGAAAAACTGCATACAATTTCATCAGATATATGCAAGGGCCTTGGATTAACTTGGGGCACTACTCTGCTTAAACCACATACTTTCAGGTATCAGATACAGAGATTATTCCCAGCCTTGCATTGCTGAGATCCTTTAGCTAATAACAACAGTCACACTTCATGGCAGGAATCCTGGCTTACTGAACCACACTTTGAACAAGTTGCATGCTAGTGCATCAACTCTCAGCTAGTACATGCAACTTGCAGCTCATCGGCTCCCATTAGGTTCCTCCTGCAAGTGGGTAAACAAGTGATGTACAGCTAGGTTCATGTGATATCCAAAGCAGAAGTTACTGTACCTAAACAAGCCAGGATTTGTAGGCCTTCCTTGATCCATGGTTTGTTGCTGGTTTACAAATTCTAGCTTAAGTGAGATAAAACATAATCCTCAATTCAAATTTCACCCTAATATATCTATGCCTGATTTTTTTCAAACAAGCCAAAGAAGAGCAAAGGAGAGCCAGTGTGGTGTGGTGGTTAAGAGCATGGGACTGGGACTCAGACGATCTGGGTTCGAGTCCCCGCTCAGCCATGGAGCCAACTGGGTGACTTTGGGCCAGTCACAGACTCTCAGCCCAACCTACCTCACAGGGTTGTTGTTGTGGGGATAAGATGGAGGAGGAGAATGATGTAAGCTGCCTTGAGCCCTTTGTAGGGAAAAGACAGGATATAAATGGAAAAATAAATAAATGACTAAATAAATATAAAGCAGAACAGTAAAGTAATATTAATCCTAACTAGCTAATTCACATTTGTTGTCTTTGTGAAAAATGTAGAAACTCAAAACATTTGTCTATTTACTTGGGGTGGGGAGTGTTTCCCTATAAGAAAGCTGAAAATTCTTAGAAATGAATACCTATAAGCAACATATATATCATGTCATTTTTTTCAAATAAATCAAATTAGCACATTGTAAGCCGCTCCGAGGCTTCGGCAAATGGGGCGGCATAGAAATTTCTAAATAAATAAATAAAAATAATTGCAAAAGAAAAATCTATAATTCCTAATAACCAAATCTACTTCTAAAGAGCAGAACTCAAAGTACTATGCTTTATAAGACTCAATAAATCGAGCAGAGTTAAGGTAAAATTCAAGATACACATGAAAGTGACAGCATGAATTCACCCTGAAATTATGTTTATGGCCAAAAAGAATAAACATAGTTCAACCAATATACTGTGAAGGCCAGGTGAATATTATTTCAAAGAACAGTCCATAAATCCAGTAACAGTGCAATTCAAACTTGGAGAATTATGGACATATTAGAAGAGTAGAAGCATGGAGGCCGAGGTTGCCTCTGCACTTCTCCCACCATGCAAAATAGTTAGACCGCTTTTGTCTCAGAGCACAAGAAGAGGATGCTGAGGCACTGCCAAAATACTGGCATACAAGATCCTGCAACCTTGCATCTTGGAGTCACAGCAAGTGTGGCTATTTCTTCAGAGAAAAGCAAATGCTTAACCTTTAGAGCACTTCAAGTTCACAGCATGTTTCGAAGACTGCAGCTAGGACTTCAAATAATGCTACTGCCATCTTGACAGCATCTAGTGGCTATAGGATCACACTCCAAGTTGTCGTGTAATTTGTCATTTCCAGTTCTAACAGTAAAGTGTTAATACTGTGAGAGAACATAGTCTATTCTAATTATTTCTCAACTGACAAGTTTACAAGTGTTTTGCAAATAGGAAAAACACACACTATACAAATACTCAATATAATTATTGGCCTAGACGGGTCTAATTGCACAGCACAACATACCGTACCTCTAGTCGCTGTACGTGCCACATAGGTGACCCAACAATAGCTGCCAGCAACCAGACTATACCTGAAAATAAGGACAGAATTGTTATGTTTTTTCAGAGATGCAACCACATAAATCACAGTAACCTAGTTGTATTTTTGTTTAAATTACTGATGCAGCATGCAGAGCATTGGTCTTGGTGTCATTTTATATTTATTAAATGTATATCCATATTCTACCAAACATGGCACTCAAGGCAGCTAACAAGATAAATTAGATAAAATACAGATGAATTATAACAATAAAATAATTCAGTTGAAAAGAAGCAGACAGCACCCAAGCAGCCAAAATCCTTCAGCAGCGACCAACTTACATGCCAAAGAACTGCCTGAACGAAAAGTTCCTTGCCTGCTGGTAGAAGGACAACAAACAGGAAACAAACCAAGACACCATTAACAGAGAGTTCCAGAGCCTGGAAATGCCACAGAAGTTGCCACCAAACATGCTTATAGTGGGGAAGCAACCAAGAAAGGTGCCTCCCCCAAAGCTCTTGCAACCTTGGCAGGCTCGTACAGGAGGGAGAAGGCAGTCATTCAGCTAGCCTAATCTCAAGTTGTGTAACGCTTTCAGGTCAAAACCAGCTTTTGAATTGTGCCTGGAAACACCAGTAGCCAAAGAAGCTGTTGCAAAAAGGAAGCCAAAGGCAACTGCCCCAGTCAGCAGTCTGCCCCACAGCACTCTGGACCAAATAAGCTTTCAAACTCTTTTCGGTAACACCGAAGGCATGTTGCACTAAACCAAATGGGATGTAATCCTGAAAAAAATGTTAAGGTTAGCAAGCATCATGAAGATGGTTAGAAGTAGGGGTGATGATGCAACACACATTCTGCCTTGTTTGGTGAGCTACCAAGATTGTCCAGGACCTTACCAAGCATTTTGTACGCTCTTCTGTTGGTGTACTGCCATTTCATTTTTAGAGGGTGGACAATGCCATTGTATCTTTCCACAGCAATGCAGCTCATTGTAAGAATCTCAGTAACTATTGCAGTGGACTGGACAAACGGCACCATCTTGCAGGCAAAGGCACCTAAACAGGATTGGAGCAAAAAATCCAAGTCATCAGCAGCATCCATATTAAAAACATTTTTCCGCATTTGTGTCTTGTCTCTGAAGGATATTTTGTAACCTGAAGTAAGCTGGAATGATCAGTATTGTCTCCATACTGGCTCCTGTTTTGTTTGTTCTAAAGGTAAATACATTCATTTCAACATGAATTCTGAGACAGGCATGTGATTTAAGCCCTGAAGTCCCTGACACGAAGGTCAATAGAACAAATTATAGTAAATATGAAGGCCAATTGGTCTGCCTTCTTGCCTGTACAACTATGTAAATCAGTAAACATTTCGACACTACCAAAGTTAAGCACTCTTCAATTTCAAGAAAATCAACAAAATTAATAAGTGCTTAACCTTGAGCAGAGTGTATAAAGATATCCTGATCTTTCAGGCCATAAATGCTGAAATCAAAACTTCAAAATTATCTTGCTAGCAAACATTTTACTCAAAACTAAAGATGCTTCTTCAAATAAGAAGCAAAATTAGCACAGTTAATTCACAGTTCATTTCACACTTTCTGAAGATAATCACAGTTTTTTGAATGTGTGAAAATGCTAGTAGCTGTTGTCCCCCATTACAAAAATCATAATTTTATCAGGCAATTATCCAACAAGGAAGACAAAACTGGAAGCATTATTCTTAAGAAAACAAACAACAAGTCAATTTAATAAATATAAGTTAAACAGCCATAGCAGTTGATGGCAAAGTGGTGCAGTATCCTAGCCATTTTCAAAAACTCATTCCACCTTCCTATTTCTCCTTTTACATTCTCTGTTACTCAGTAAAAACTTTGTGAAGATGGTCAAATCTAGGCTTTTTGACTGAACTGAGTTCAAATAAACCTGAATCAAGGTGTGGGTTAATATTGTGATAAGAAATATCACAATATTACACAGTGTTGTGATAAGAAATATCACAATATTCAGATAAGAAATGCCATTTTTAAAAGTCCCATAGTGCAGGAGTGACAACTTGTCATAGGAATTAATAAATAAATCCAAGATGCTAATGCAGTTATGATTGGCAACTGACATAGGTACCACAAACAGAAAGGTTGCAGTCAGTCTACTTAATGCCCCAACGTTATAACTGAGGCTGCCTTGTGCGAGAATTAAACCTTAAGCCACATGCTATGGTAGGGGATCTTCTGGAGAAGAGTGTCCATATGGCAGTGACCCAAAGCTCCAATGAGAACAGAGATGCGTGCAAACTTCAGATCCTTGTTGAGGCTGTACCTGTGTGCTGAATGAGAACTGGAATGCAATTGCAGAGCAGCAGACTTTAAACTAAAATTTTGCCACTCAGACTTCGCTTTAAAACATTCTGTATATGTTTTTTCCTTCATTAAGGATTTTCAGCACTTGGGCAGGCTTTTCAGACCTTGCAGACTGAGAATAACAAATTATTCTATGAAAACTAGCTTTAAATATTATCTACCAAAGCTCTGTTTACTTTCCAGAGAGAAAGCTATTCAGCCCTTTTGAAAGCCTTTTTTATTCTCGTGGCTAACCGTAACAGTTTTTAAAGCTTTAGTTTTCAACCCAAGCAAGTTAAATAACTGCATTTCAGTTTGCTAGGAAATTAGATCCATTCTATCACTGCTTATCATTTTGATTGTAGAAAAGTTCCATTTTCTTTACAGAAAACAGATGCACAGCTATGTTACAGAAATATGAAGTCCCAAAACTCTTGCAGGATATTGAATCACTTCAATCAAAACAAAGGCAAAAAAACCCTAAAGTATTTGGGATTACAATATTTTATCAGGAGAAAAACATTGCTGGGAAAAAATGCGTGCCTACAGCATTTGCAATGATATTTCAAAAGCTATAGGCATGAAATTTGAAACCAAGGGGTAGGAACATAGTTGTTAGACTTGGTAGAAGGGAAAACTGGATCTGTGACCACGCCTGCTGCAATTAGACTTCAAAGCAGATGAAGTGTTTGGTATAATTTCTGAAAACCACCAAAATGCCAGGAACACTAACATATGGATCATGGGGACATTAGGAAGGGGCATGTGTGATTTTGTGCCTACCTCCTGTGCAAGCACAGAAGCCTGGAAAGTTATTTAAAAGTCTTTGATGTAAAGACATTCTTGATCAGGAATTAACAATAATCCAACGTATGGAGCTGCCATTGGCATTGGGACTTAACTAGGAAGGCCAGTGCTTAAGTCACTGCTCTGGCACAAAATTCACTAGCGTCAGTCACTAATATCCATCAGATTAAGCTATATCATAGGCTCTAACAAGGAATAAATGAAGGTGAGGAACATATACATTGTCCTGAATATCGTGATCTCCACTTTATCTTCTGTTTTTTTTTTCAGAGCACTTTCCCATTTCTGCTTGTTTTTAGAACAAGGACAATAAGATATTAAATAACAATAGGAAAAATAACATTCTTTCTCACAACTTTCAGGGGTGCTGGAGGATACTGTGCCACTGCAAATGCCAAAGAAAGATTCACCTTCTTGTCCAGTTGACTTTTGTTCAAGGAATGGGAAGGGTGTCTTGAGTCAGCCCTAGCAAGAACACAGCCTGATCTCAGACTTCAAAGGATCTGTTACTGTGAAAATAGGCTACTATTTAGGTTTTGTTTCTTCTGCCTTGTTTATGAGGTAAGCCAAAAGATCCTTGTCACCAGTTATTGTCTCTTGACTTTACAAGCAATTCACAAAAAACTCAGTAACTAAACAACTTTTGTTGTTGCTGCTGTTGCTAAACTAGAAAAATCGGAGTCAAACAATATTCACTCCAAAACAGGCCAAGATTTAAAATGAACAATCGAGCACCATTCCAAATTAAGTAGATATTCTCCAGCAAATGTGATAACAGTTTTTAAGATGCTACTCACTTAGCAGCCAAACTGCAGCACTGTATCCAAAGATAAAAACAAACATCTCTTCCTTAATGGAATAGAGTTTCTGCTGAAATAGCGCAAATCATCAACAAGCTCAGTCTGTCATTCTACAAACAGAAATGAACTGGATGTCAGCCCTTGATTTCTACTATAAAGTTAATGGTTACTGAGCTCTTTACAGACCAGGCCCAATTTCAAGTTTAAACATGTTATCTCCATAAATATTGCCTCCTCTCTTTATTCCATTCCCCCTTGAGCACAGATTTCCAACATAAAACATATTAACACTACAAAAAGACTGGTTTGGAACTCATTGTATTAGATGGGCAAGATTGTCCAGACACCAAACCATCCTATCATAAAAAAAAGCCAGGAACCATCCAATTTACAGTGCCTGCATCCTAAACATGTCAACATTTTCTCCAGTTTTTTACCACCATCTTTCTGCTCTTGAATCTCCATGACAGTCGATACTTTTTTCAGACTTTCATCTATTCCTCAACCTGTGTCTGAAGTTTCAAGTACTGGTACAGTTCTTTAGACTCATTTCTTCTTATCTTCCTGCTCAGTCATGTGATCCACCAGATGCAAAAATATCGAATTTCCACTGGCAACAGGAGTTAGTTTGCTGTTCACATTTCATGCCTAAAAGTTCATGCTTACACTAGAGACCTGGCAGCTCAGGGATAGTAAGGAACTGGCATGCCAGATTCATCTCTGATATAGTTCAGTGGTACCACACAGACCTGACATATAGACACTCCCAGGCTTAACAACCCAGCATCTCCAGGTATAGCTAGGAACACACTGAGCTACTGAGCTGGATAAACTAATACTCTGACCTAGCTTAAACAACAGTTGCCTATATTTCCTCTTTTGTTTTCTGTGTAGTTCTGGTTTGCACATAATGTATTCCAGGGTTTATTTGACCCATGGTTTGTTGTACTACCAAGGGCTCGTCTGGCAAACAATTAAACAAACTGTGAGTTGTTTTATGAACTACCATCCTCAATCACCAGTTCCCTTGTTGTATTCGAAATACCTATGCACTACTGTGATATTGAAATGTAGAGAAGCTGCTTTGCAGGGCTGTGGGGAGTCTTGCCTACTGGCTCTGCAGCTGGTGAAATAACACATATACCACGATTTGGGGTTGAGGCATAATGATAACCCATAATGACAGCAATCCAGAGTTGACAACCCAACACCAAACTATGGGTTCTAAGTAATATGTGCCTAACATACTGCTCAAACAACACAACAACAGATTTCAAAATGGTTTTTGCATTGTGTGAGACCAGGCCTATGTTTCTGGGAAATCAGAAGCTGGAAAAACCATGCAATTATCTTATTAAAGGTAACAAAATCCATATATGGACAATTTATTTTTATACAGCTCAAATTTCTCACTGTTCAACCTCTTTGAATAACACTGGATTCTAGTGTGGGACTCACCTGGCCGGCTGGCATTAAGCCTGGGTAGGCTGGTCACGTCCAAAGCATCATCTTACTATATCAAAACATTACAAGTGGCTAGAGATTGAGCAATCTCCTGCCAAAAGCTCCCAGCCCAACCTCCAGGTACCCAGCCTCCCAGGTAAGGCACAGGAACCACCTGTATTCGAATGTGCCAGTCAACTATCGCAGAGGAAATTTCAACCCAATAAGTAGCTGTCATCACTACCTGGTCATCAGGGGTAGAAAAGGGGGCTCTGCCATGCACTTGAGGTTGACTGAGACTTTGCTGTGACTGAACTGCATCCTCAGGAATAAAATACAGTTTTTCTACCTCTCATCCTTGTTATCCTAAATTGGCCTGCGTGTATCAGGTCCAGACCCCTTGAGTCCAACACTAGTGTTAGGAGAAAATCCCTACCCACGTCTACACACCATGAAAAATTATATGCACTTCTATGTGTCTCCACCCCACACTCCATTTGTCTTTCTTCTAACAAAAAGACTACTTCTGGGTACATACTGTACATATATAGTTTAGGAGTCCTGCTTACTAGATCTCACTCTTGTTGGGGTAAATTACTTTTGACTTGCAATACATAATCTTGGAAAGCTACCAGTGGAAACAGTCCCTTACCAACCAACTACTGCA